CTCAGGTACTTACCCCTCTAATCTTATTCAACAAATTAACTCGGATAAACAAACGATTCGTATCAATTTTTGTCTTATAAAACAATGAGAAAATAAATCAGTACCGAAAATCGTAGACCGTTCAATATCTAATTTTTTCATCAAATTAACGCGGATAAATGAACAATTTGTATCAATCTCTTTTTCTTTTATAGAGATATCAAAGACTAAATCAGTACCGAAAACCGGATATTGATTAATTCTATAAATCAGCGTTAGAAAATTGTCTAAGTGCAATGACAAATTGTTTTCATCTTGCAGGAACTTACCCCACTAAGTTATTCAACAAATTAAGTCGGATAAAAGAACGATTCGTATCAATTTTTATTCTCTTATAAAGAAATTAGAGAATCAGTCAGTACCGAAAATTGAAGACCGATCAATATTTAACTTATTCATCAAATTAACGCGGATAAATGAACAATTCGTAAGAACTTTTTTTTCTTATAGAGAAATGAAAGAGTAAATCAGTACCGAAAATCGAATATCGATTAATATCATAAATCAGTGTCAAAAAATTGCCCACGTGCAATGGCAATTTGTTCTTATTTTTCAGGTACTTACCCCTCTAATCTTATTCAACAAATTAACTCGGATAAACGAACGATTCGTATCAATTTTTTTTTGTCTTATAAAAAAATGAGAAAATAAATCAGTACCGAACACCGAAGATTGATCAATACCATAAATCAATGTCAAGAAAATTGTCCAAGTGCAATGACAAGTTGTTTTCATCTGGCAGGTACTTATCCCACTAATTTACTCAACGAATTAAGTCGGATAAAAGAACGATTCGTATTCAATTTTTATTCTGTTATAAAGAAATTAAAGAATCAGTCAGTACCGAAAATTGAAGACCGATCAATATTTAATTTATTCATCAAATTAACGCGGATAAATGAACGAGTCGTATCAATTTTTTTTCTTGTAAAGAAATGAAAGAGTAAATCAGTACCGAAAATCGAATATCGATCAATACCAGAAATCAGTGTCAGAAGATTGTCCAAGTGCAATGACAGTCCGTTCTCATTTTTCAGGTTTGATAAAAAAAAATCTTTCCCGAGTCGAAATATTAATTCTACATTGATCCTGCAAATTGCATCCAATTTGAAAAATCAATGCAGAATATCTAGATGCGCAATAGTGAACAAGCTTTGTCCTACCTGAACGTTACATCTGGCTACTCTCGCAGTCTCGCCCATGATGAGTCTTCAACAGCGACGTATTCCGCAGTTATTTAATACTCGTTTATTTCGATAATGTATATGTACTTAATCCTTATATTCTTAATTTAAATGAGCAATTTTTGTTGATTTTGATTATATATTCGCTTAACAGCGCAATAAAGAGAACAAAGATAAAAACGTAAATAGAACTGCCTTTGTTAGAACTGCGCATGAGATAAATATATAAGGATTAAATAATCATATAAGGATTAGAGGAAATGGGGAGATGAAAAACACTTTTTATTCTCATCATTCTTAAAGTTCTCTTTTCCTTTTTTCTTCTCTTTCTTTTCTTTTCTTTTTTCTAATGAGAATGATGAGAATTATAGCTCTCAAAAGAGCTGAAGCTGCAAAAAGACAACGGTTATGTCTAATAATGCTGTTTCACTAATAGAGATTTTAATTCAGATTCGGTACAATAAGAAAGATAAACAAGAATGAAAAACGGACATTCTAGCAGATTCTAAACGAAAACAGCAATCTGAGCATTATTAGACGAATAAAAATCAACACTTGTAAAATTTATAACAGATTCTAAGATCATTATTCATAGTTTTTTAAATTATGTGCAATTTTTCATTGAGAACATAATTAAAAATTTGTATTCATGAACCTTAGCTTGCCTCAGCAAGCTTGAATAGACATTCATATTTTATGAGAAAATAAAAGTAGAACTCATGTTACGTGAAATTAGGTTAACGAATAATCAAATCTCAAGCTATTTTATCATTTTTCAAAATATAAACTATGAATGCTAATCTAATTTCGACTCGGGTATGTCCTTACTTCGAGTAAGGTCCGTTAAAATCAGAAAAATAATAATGCGTAATAATAATAACTCAAGGTACCTCGAATACCATACATGATGTATCGCTGTCCTCGGCTACGTCTCTCGGCGCGCTCCGAGTCCTCTCTCCATCCTGACTTCTCGATCCGACGTCCTCCTTCTGGTCTCCGACGCAGCACCCCCGGATACTCCATCGTAGCACTGGCGACGACACTGACTCTAACTCTAACACTCGCGCAAGTAACAGGATTCCAGGGACTACCGTCGGTATCGTCGTTCGTCGGCCCGAGGCGCAATGTCGTTTCCGCAATCACGGAGTCATACATAAACGTACAAAAACAAACATTCGGGTAGTCACGGTTACCCCCCACCAGTCGCTGACCTTGCCGATCAGTGTTGATGCCTGCGTCGTCCGTTAGCTGAAAATGAAAACAACTAGTGTTTTCAAAGCATGCCTGTGAAAGACTCGCTTCAAACTTCACAATATTTATTTACGTCTGTTCCCAGAATCATATTACGTCGAATTCAAACTATCTCTATTGACATGATATACACGAGATCTGCGATCGCATCATTGATCTTTCTTTGGACAAGAAAATCCTGAGAGGAACGCTGTTCGAGAATATCACATTTTATGTTTCAGGTGCCTTGCAGATTATCGAATCCGATGTAACAGATCAGGGAAAGTATGAATGCGTCGCTATGAATAACACCGTGGGCACGGAGTATTCCAACCTTTTTAAAAAGGTAAAAAAGGCGCCAAGTACAAGCGCAACACATATTGTGTTATTTTTAGAAGTATCAAATAATTTTTTTTACTGTATATATGTGTACATAAGGTTTTACAAGTAAAACTTATAACTATAATAAAACTCTGCAACACTTTTCTACTGTACAAAAGAAGTGATATATTAAAACAGTAACGCCAACTGAGAAACCTAACATATATATATGATTATTGTATACTTAATTTAATATTTTTAGAAATTTCAAATTATATTTTCTTTTTTAAGATATATATTATGTACATAACATAAGTTTTTATAATATATGTACATAAACTTTTAAAAGTAAAAATTATATCGTGTTATAAAAATTTAACACGTTTGTTAATAGTGTCCAATATTTAAAAAAATATCTTTTTAAATATTATGTATATAACATAAGTTTTTATAAGTAAAACTTATCAAATTATTTATTTTGTAAGATATATATGTACATAAACTTTTAAAAGTAAAAATTATATCGTGTTATAAAAATTTAACACGTTTGTTAATAGTGTCCAATATTTAAAAAAAATATCTTTTTAAAGGTTATGTTATTCAAAATATTCAAGAAAACCTAGCTACAAAAAATGTCCATAACATAAATTTTAACAAGTAAAATTTATCATTATTTATTAGAACACTGAGTTATATGGTTATTTTACTTGTTATTGTAACAAATTAATTATTATAACAATGCAATAAAAAATATTTAATACAAAGAATCTTGGCGCAGCTGCACCATAAACTATATCGAACTAAAACTTGTTTAATACATATATGACAGCATTTTTATTATAATAAAATGTACTTGTAAATTCTCTCTTTATATATACGGTGTATTTACAAAAACGGTTAATTACAAAAATATGAATAATTTATCAAATTAACCAAAGCTGTTGGTTATTATGCATAATAACCGGTTATTATGCATAGTGACTGGATTTATCACTTTAACTGTAATATATACAACAACGCAATAAATAGATAGAAAGACAGAGATTGACGAGAGTAATTGCAGATTCATAAAGTGTCTATGATTACTAGTCGGATGATGACGGATCGTGAATGCCGAGCGCGAAATTCCGACTTCTTATTCCCGGAAAATTCGCCAAACGTCAAACGAAGGGCAAAAAGTGTCGTCGCTCGCGAGCCGATCAACACAATCGGCGCGATGTAAACATTGCGGGCCTCGGCGGCGGTTGAAGCAAGAGAGACTTGTCCTTGGGCATCTTTTCTTTTCTCGAAAGTTCCGGGACAACGAGGGGAATACGAGGAGGCCTTTCAACTATACGCGACATTGATTTACTACTTATTGATTACTGAAAATAAAGAAAATTATTCTGTCGAAGCATCGGATATTTGTTAACTTTATGTTAATTAAAAAGGAATGTGTACGATTATGAAAATATGTTAGCAACTAATTATACAGAATGTCAAAGTTGTTGTAACGCCGTTTTCGGAGAATAATTAAAGGTCATGGTAGAGTTAAAGAGTGGAATTTCATCTCATGCGAATTTGGTCTCGTTCTTATTAAATGTTAGATTATCCGCTGCAGACAATAACTCTTCTACTTTTTATCTAATATTCAATGATAATAAATAACATTTAACACCAGTTCAGCAGTGCAGACAAAACGAACAGGCCTATTGTCTGACATAGAGATAGTAACTATGGTTGCAGCACGGACATAAACCTCCTGAAAGTGGATGTAACACGGACTTCCACCACATGCAGATTTTACCACCAAGACCTAAAAGTGGATGTAGCATCGTAGTTCTCCTCTCAAAATGGATGCAGATGGCGCCCATTTCCAGTGCGAAAAATTGGTGTCGTCGAAAACGCCGTGTTAGCCGCTCTCAGCTTCCTCTCTGGTAGAACAAAGTGATCAGAGAGCGCTTAGTGATTATTGTCTGTGATTGGAGCATTCTTTTAGATTCTTCATAGACCCAGAAGTATTTACCAATCAGGAGCGAGATTCAGTGGAAAATCTAGTAATGTTGTCCAACTGTTGAGTCTGCTAAATGCAGCCAATGGGTGCATTCAGTACTACACCGCTCACTGAGTGCTAAGTGAGCTCTTGCATCTGATTGGTGTTTTTAAATCTAAAGGAATATACCAATCAAATGTAAAAGCTCATTGAGCGCTCAGTGAGCGGTTGTAGTACTGAATGCACCCATTGTTCTATTGGAAGTGGTTGGAAGAAGCAGGCAGTTCTGCTATAAGACACTTTTACCCGAAAATCGATATCGTAGTACGACTCATCGACGAATCCGACGGATCTTAATTTTTCAGTAGTATGACCTACTAATAAAGAATAGATTTTTAATCCCCTATATGACTATATGAGAAATAAAATCCATATAATTTAACATTCAATGACAATTTAATTATACTACTAACAAAATAATGTAAGCAGCTTTCAAGGCAAATATAACATCAAACGTCAAACGCAGTGTGAATCTTCCATTATCCTTCTACGATAGTGCGTTCCCACGATGGAGTCCATTCCGAGGACCCACGAAGGTTCTTCTCATGTTTATTATTATTTTTTAATTAATTTTATTTTATATCTTTCTTTATGTATATGAATATAATATTAACAATCTTACAAAATTGAATAAGCATTAAAAATTAACGAAAGTTTTCATTTTATTTGACATGCTAGCATAACCTTTTTCATATAGCTGTTAAAATTTATTTAATTTTAACAATATGTATATTATTGCAGATATCGAGGCACAAATAAAAGAGATTCAATTGAAGAAGAAGGAAATTTTAAATACAGTATCTGAAAAGGATCAAGTTGGACTAGGAAAAACTGGTTTCTATGACCAAGACATTTATGATAGCAGTAACAATAAATACGATGGCTATGTTACTTCAATTGCAGCAAACGATGAAATCGAGGTATTTTGAATTAAATATAACATCTCTGGATATTTTTAATGGATATTTTAATTCTATTGCATTTATGTATAATTGGAAGTCACTTCTTATTAATGATTGTTTATACAAATTAACTTCTTCTGTTGACAAGGATTATGACCCATTTGCGGACAGACGGATACCCACCCTAACTGACAGAGAAGAGGAAAAAGACTATGATCCATTTGCTGACAGACGACGGCCAACCATAGCTGACAGAGAAGATGAATATAGGCAAAAAAGGCGGCGAATGATTATTTCTCCTGAACGTGTTGATCCTTTTGCAGAAGGTTGGTACATTTTTATAAATTATTTTTATAAAGTATTTTTATAAGTTATAAATCATGTTGAAAAATTTAATAAAAATTTTTATTTGGATATAAACAATTGTGTTACATGATTAAATATATTAATAATAATTAATTATAACAGAAAATTATCAGTAACAATAAGTAATAATATATTAGTGATAATTCAATAACTATAATCGACACATCTGTTCAATAGGTGGCAAGACTCCTGATGTTGGTTCTAGGACATACACTGAAATTATGCGAGAACAAATGCTCAAAGGCGAGGAAACAGAGGTAAGTTAAATTGTAAATATATCGTAAGAATATTATGTAAAGAGAAAAATATAGAAAAATTTTACATGAATATATACCAGGATTTATGATATATCTTTTACTTAAATGTTTATTTTATTTAAACTGCAAAATCAGAGCTTCACAAAATAAAGTTAATAATTAATAAAGTTATTTTGTATTTTTATATAGTTGAGGAAAAGATTAGCAGAAAAGGTTAAAGATGGCACTCTAAAAGCCAATGGTGAACCTAAACTAGCACCAAGGAAGAGAGGACGCTGGGATCAGATAGATGATACTCCAGTTCAGAAAAAGCTATCTGGTACTGCAGCAACACCAACCTCGTGGGATAATGCAGATGTATGTTTGATATATTTATACATTTAATTGTTTGTAAAAGTTATGTAGAGAACCATATTAATTTGTTGAAACATGTTAAAACATTACAGGATAGAATCTAAAATAATTACAAACTTAATTTAAATTATTTCAGATAAAATGTATAATAGAATGCTACAATGCTTTAAACCACATGTACATTCACACATGTTTAATAAGATTTAAGAAATTCAATTATATATCTAATTTATTTTTCCTTATTCTTTATAATATTTCTTTGTACAATTATTTCCTAGGTAACACCAGCCGCTATTAGGTGGGACGAAACTCCAGGTCATGGCAAAGGAGGAGAAACTCCTGGAGCGACTCCCGGAGTCAGTACGAGAATGTGGGACGCCACACCAGCACACGCAACGCCAGGAGCTGCAACTCCAGGCAGAGAAACACCCTCACATGAGAAAGTTGTGTCGAGTCGACGGAATCGCTGGGATGAAACCCCAAAAACTGAACGAGGTGAAGTTATATAATTTTTGCTCAATATTTTATAAAAAAAATTATACAGCTTCATTTTTTATAAAACTTCCGTTATATAAAAGTTACATATTTTGTGTAACTATAAAGCAACTGATTTATTTCATAATTTTTTATTGTTTTTAAGATTTAAGATATTTTATAAGAATATATATATGAACATATTACTAACATTTCAGAGACTCCCGGTCATAGCAGTGGCTGGGCGGAGACTCCGAGAACCGATCGTGTAGCCGGTGACTTGATACAAGAAACTCCAACACCTTCGGCCAGCAAACGACGAAGTAGATGGGACGAGACACCATCGAATCAAACGCCAGGCTCGATGACACCACAAACCCCAGCAACACCACTTACAACCCCTCATCAAACGTCTATTTTAACGCCTAGCGCAGTAACGCCAACAGGACCGAAGGCGATGGGTCTGGCTACTCCTACACCGGGACATTTAATGTCTATGACGCCAGAGCAGCTACAAGCTTATCGTTGGGAACGTGAAATAGACGAACGAAACAGACCGCTGTCCGATGACGAATTGGACGCTCTATTTCCACCCGGCTACAAAATTCTTCAACCGCCAACAGGTAAGACACATAGAAATGAGAGATTAATGTTCTGAAATATTAACGGTTGAGGAGTTAGAATTTAACTATTAGCAAGCGCTTTAATTTTTAGAATGTTTAGAGATACCGTAATGTCCTAAAGAATATTTGAAGAAATATATTTTGTACCATCTATATAAGATATTGTTACGCACTACGTATCTAATACTACGTATTAGATCGTGCGTATCCGGGCTCGCGAAGAGGTCGGTCACCACATGTCAGCCTTCGACGACAATTCGTGTGCGATTCTCTATCTTTTATCATCAACTCGTTGCTACATACCGTGGCGCATAAAAATATCTATACTTTTTCCTAGGATATGTACCTATTCGTACACCTGCCAGGAAACTCACCGCAACACCGACTCCTATCGCCGGCACACCTCAAGGTTTCTTCATTCAAACCGAAGATAAGAACGCCAAGTACGTGGATAATCAACCCAAGGGTAATTTGCCGTTTATGAAACCGGAAGATGCGCAGTATTTCGACAAACTTCTAGTAGACGTGGACGAGGAGACACTTAGTCCCGAAGAGCAGAAAGAGAGGAAGATCATGAAGTTGCTGCTGAAAATTAAAAACGGCACACCTCCTATGCGTAAAGCTGCTTTGAGACAAATCACCGACAAGGCGAGAGAATTCGGCGCTGGTCTACTTTTCAATCAAATCCTTCCACTTCTTATGTCACCCACTCTCGAGGATCAGGAACGTCATTTACTCGTAAAAGTTATCGATCGCATTCTCTATAAGCTCGATGATTTGGTACGACCATACGTGCACAAGGTAATTATTGTTACATTATAGCTTTTACTTAATCTTATTTTTCCCAATGTCTAGTTAAGAAAATTATCAATCTTGCTTCGTGTGCCACTTCCTGTTGGTAATATTTAATTTAATTTTATCATCTTATTTATCTATCATCAATATTTAGATTTTAGTAGTTATCGAGCCTTTGCTGATCGATGAAGACTATTATGCCCGTGTTGAAGGCAGAGAAATCATTTCCAATTTGGCCAAAGCTGCAGGATTGGCGACAATGATTTCTACGATGAGACCAGACATTGATAACATCGACGAATACGTACGTAACACGACGGCCAGAGCATTCGCTGTTGTTGCGTCCGCTCTTGGAATCCCATCGTTACTTCCGTTCTTAAAAGCTGTTTGTCGCAGTAAGAAATCCTGGCAAGCTAGACACACTGGCATCAAGATCGTGCAACAAATAGCTATTCTAATGGGTTGCGCAATTTTGCCACATTTAAAGAGTTTAGTGGAGATAATAGAACATGGTAAACAAATTAACAAATATCTTCTTGCAATTAAATTTATCATTTCTTCCATATGTTTATTACACTTACTATTAGTTTTACTTTTTCCTGCGGAAAGTAATTATGAGATAAAAAATTATAGGTCTAGTGGATGAACAGCAGAAAGTGCGAACCATCACTGCGTTAGCCATTGCTGCGTTGGCCGAAGCTGCAACGCCATACGGTATCGAAAGTTTCGACTCAGTATTGAAACCTCTGTGGAAAGGTATCCGCACACATAGAGGTAAAGGTTTAGCAGCGTTCCTAAAAGCTATCGGTTATCTCATCCCTCTCATGGACGCAGAATATGCGAATTATTATACTAGGGAAGTAATGTTAATCCTTATACGTGAATTCCAGTCGCCCGACGAGGAAATGAAAAAGATCGTATTAAAGGTAAAATAATAATTAATGTTTATATACAGAGTGTCCCATTTTAAATGAGCCAGGCAAAAATCTCGAAAAATATGAAAGATACCAAGAAACGTTTCAGACAAAAGTTGTATAGTTTCAAAAGGAAACATAAAACAGCTATATCATTTTATTTACAAATGACGATTTCGAGATATTCACTGGTCATTACTTTTCTTAAGTGGAAATCCCAATTTTTTTATCATATCATCCTTTTCATATCATTCTTTTCTACCAATTAATTTGAATTTTGTCTGAAACATTTTTTATTTGTCTAATATTTTTTGAGATATTTAAGGAAAACTTGGTAACTTTTTCAACATTTAACTTACGATATCTTGCTAACTATTTGTCAAAAGAAAAAATAATACTAGGCTTTTTTACTCTATTTAGTCTCAAGAAATATTGTTACAATAGTGCCCTAATTTTTATTAACTTATCGACTTTTGGAAATTTCAAAATCATCAAATTAACAAAAAGTCAGGGTGCTATTGCAACGATATATTCTTGAAACCAAATAAAGTAAAAAAGTCTAGCACCACTTTCTCTTCTGACAAATAGTTAGCGAGATCTTGTAAATTAAATATTTAAAAAGTTATCAAATTTTTCTTGAATATCTCAAAAAGTATTAGACAAATAAAAAAATGTTTCAAACAAAAATTGTTAAAATTAATTGGTAGAAAAAGATAATATAATAAATAATTGGTGTTTTCATTTAAAAAAAAGTAATGATCACACACACACATACACACACAGTAAATATCTCGAAAACGGTGCCATCTATAAACAAAATGATATAGTTGTTTTATTTCCCCTTTGTAATCATACAATTTTTGTCTGAAACGTTTCTTAGTATCTTTCATATTTTTCTGTTATTTACCTGGATATTTATTTAAAATGAGACTTGTATATTCTTTCATATATTATTTTAGAAATCTTAGTAATCTTTATAAACTAAATTTTCTAAACAGGTGGTTAAGCAATGCTGTGCAACAGATGGTGTGGAAGCTCAATATATAAAGGATGAAATCCTGCCTCATTTTTTTAAACACTTTTGGAATCATCGTATGGCTTTGGATCGCAGAAATTATAGACAGGTAATCCATAAATTATTGAGATGCGTGACAAGTACATGAAACACAATAAAACAATTTTAAGTATAGTAACAAATTGTTTAACTTTTTTTTTGTATAATATATATTTATTTTATATAGTATATATTTTAAGTTATGAAGTTTTCTAACATCTCTTTGATAATTAAAGTAGCTAATATACATACACACATCAGGTCATATATAAATATGTATAATTTTGTTAACAAAATATATACAACGAAATGTAAAATAAACTTAATTATTTTGCAGCTTGTAGATACCACAGTCGAAATAGCTAATAAAGTAGGCGCTTCAGAAATCATCAATAGAGTAGTGGATGATTTGAAAGATGAAAATGAACAGTATAGAAAAATGGTGATGGAGACTATTGAGAAAATTATGGGTAACTTAGGAGCGGCAGATGTTGATTCTCGTTTAGAAGAGCAGCTTATTGACGGCATTTTGTACGCTTTCCAGGAACAAACAACTGAGGTTTGTTAAGCCTGATAAACATTATATAATAAATCGTAAAATTAATTAAACGATTACATAAAGACAAATTGATTATGGACTATGTAAACAGAGAACAAAGAACTTAAAACTAATTTCTTTTTTGTAGGATGTCGTGATGCTCAATGGTTTTGGTACAATCGTGAACACACTAGGTAAAAGAGTGAAGGCGTATCTTCCACAGATATGCGGTACGATATTGTGGAGATTGAATAACAAATCTGCGAAAGTTAGACAACAAGCTGCAGATCTTATTTCACGCATCGCCGTGGTTATGAAGACTTGTCAAGAAGTAAGATAAACATTATAGATGACGTTTTCTCATTTGATGATTTTTATAATTTAGAATGAATTTATGATAAATACAATATTTTTAGGAAAAATTAATGGGACATTTAGGAGTCGTTTTGTACGAGTATTTAGGCGAAGAATATCCAGAAGTACTAGGTAGCATTTTAGGAGCCCTGAAAGCTATTGTAAATGTCATAGGAATGACAAAGATGACGCCACCCATCAAGGACTTATTGCCAAGACTGACACCAATCTTGAAGAACAGGCACGAAAAGGTGAAGATCCATTTTTTGTGTACTATAACTTTATGTAAATTGTATCGCCGCTTAATCCTTTAACTGCCAATGACAAAGATCTTTATCATTTTGGATTTTTCACAGTCAGGAAAAGATAAATCTTTGTCACAGAACATTTGAGAATACCAGCGCCCAGAAATATTTTAGATGACAAAAAAATGTGTTTTTATATGTTTCCGTGTATGCTAAGCACAATCCCGTCACTTTTGTAAAATTTTGCTTCTGAAGAAAGATATTGCTATTTTATAACAAAGCCATTTTTACAATTTTTTGAAAATCTGTCATGTTGTATTGAACTATGTCAGAGACCACAAGTGTTTTGAATAATAAACTAATGTATTTTTGTATATTGTTGGGAACGCTGAACATGATCATTTGCCAATTTTAACAAATTTTACTTCTGACAAAAAATGTTGCAGCTAAAATGTAACTATTTTTTCGATATTTTCTTTAAATTTTTTGTCTTATAATATTTTGATACACCAAAAATTACAAGTGCTTAGACCAACAAAAATAACTGAAGACATTACTAGATATACTAACTATGATCTCGGAGCCTGTTTTGCAAGATTTTGTTTCTAAAGAATATATGGTTATATATCCTGCATATCCTGTACTTCTATATTCTATATACTGCTGGGAGGACAATTTTTGGCTTCTCCAAACTTATTTTCGTATAATATTTTGATGCAACATACCGCTATTTGAATGAGAAATCCATAAACACATGAAAAGACTCCTATATACCTTGACAATTTTACATTATTTTCACTATAAAATGATGTTTTCTATTTACTCTGCTGTGGTGAAGTCACTATTCTGAATTTCGGTGGCTTCTTAGGAAATTCGTAATCAGCATCCCTAAAAACTTCCATATGTAAGGTTTCAGCTACTTTCAACTAGTGATTGTTAAAAAATATGTGAATTTTCTACTTCTTTTTTTTTTGCATATTGAAGCCGCAATTTTGAACTTTGATATTTTCATAGAAAATTCGCATTCAGCATTCCTAAAAACTTACAGATATAAGGTTTCAACTATTTTCGATAACTTTTCATTTTTGGTAGTCTGGACCCTTTTTCTTAAATTGGCAATTAAGAGGTTAAGAAAAGTTTGAAGTTTATTTTTTGAATTAAAACGATATATATATATTATTGCCATGTTTTATTGTATTTGCTAAATTTAACATATTATTAATCTTACAGGTGCAAGAAAATTGTATTGATCTCGTGGGCAGAATCGCAGATCGAGGTCCTGAGTACGTTTCCGCTCGAGAGTGGATGAGGATATGTTTTGAATTGTTAGAGTTATTGAAGGCACATAAGAAGGCTATTAGGAGAGCAACAGTGAATACTTTTGGTTATATTGCCAAAGCTATTGGGTAAGTTGAATTAATTAATTCCATACTTTTTCTATATATATAATGTATATATGAGCGTGCATTTATATCTTATATATTATATTTTCTACTCCTCACAAATAGACCGCACGATGTCTTGGCGACACTTCTGAACAACTTAAAAGTCCAAGAACGTCAAAATCGTGTTTGTACCACAGTCGCCATAGCTATTGTTGCTGAGACTTGTAGTCCTTTTACCGTTTTACCTGCATTGATGAACGAATACAGAGTACCTGAATTAAACGTACAGAACGGCGTGTTGAAATCTTTGTCATTCTTATTCGAGTATATTGGCGAGATGGGTAAAGATTATATTTATGCTGTTAGTCCATTGTTGGAAGATGCGCTTATGGACAGGTGAGTTGCCCGAATTAATATATTGATTAATTATATTAATTTGATTGCTGTTATACGTCATTATACTATAAATAAGAATTATGCTTTAGGATTAGGACAAAATTGCACATTATTTCTAATCGATTTCATAATTCATCAGGGACTTAGTACATAGGCAGACTGCATGCGCTGATTAGCCATGATCGTAGCATGGCATTATGTTTTGGATGTGAAGACGCGTTAATACATTTGCTGAATCACGTGTGGCCTAACGTTTTCGAGACGTCACCGCATTTAGTACAAGCGTTCATGGATGCTGTAGACGGATTGCGCGTTGCGCTTGGACCGATTAAGATTTTACAGTATACACTGCAAGTACGTAACTGATTGAATTATGTGGCGAATAATTACGTAACGTTGTCTTGTTTTCGACACATATTAAAAATATGTTATTCATTACTGTTTTATATTGCTTTCTCGCAGGGTTTGTTTCACCCAGCTCGTAAAGTACGCGACGTTTATTGGAAGATTTATAATTCCCTTTACATCGGAGGTCAGGATGCTCTCGTAGCTGGTTATCCACGCATCATGAACGACCCAAAGAATCAATATATAAGATATGAATTGGATTATGTGTTGTAATAACAAACAACCCTTAGTTGCTAGGCAGAATGAATATTATTTCTATGAGACACATTGACTGATGTGAAAATAACTTTACTGAGGCCTGATTGGAGTCAAAAGTCTGCCAAATCAAAATTTACAATCAGATGTCGAATTTTTCATTGCAGAATGTAATCGAATTTATTCGATGAAGGGGTAATTGCACATATAAACAGCATAATAGATAAGTTACTAAGGTAAATATTAGCGAAATAAATTATGCTTGACGTGAAAAGTGTGTTAGTATAAGATACATATAAATAAATAAAAAAAATATATATGCAGTTCACATAAAAATATAGCTCATATAAAAATAATTAGTTTTTATATTTATTTTGATAAAGAAATGGAAGTTTTTGCCTATAAAAATGGGCTAATTCATAGACGAAATTCTATTGTTTTAGATTCCTCAACATTTACTTCTGTAAATCCTAAATACAGATATTTCATATTCGGTATAGATGTTACAAATATCTGATATACATGTATATGTGTGTACGTGTGTGTACGTGTGTGTGCGTGTGTGTGTGTGCGTGCGTGTGTGTGTGTGCGTGCGTGTGTGTGTGTGTGCGTACGTGTGCGTGTGTGTGTGTGTGTGTGTGTGTAGTTATATCTGTGATCATAACTGTTGAAACTATGATATACAAAATTTATTTTACAAGATTTATTTTGACAATGTAATTTTATGATTTAATATTTCTATTGTCTGACGAATATGAATGTTTCTTATCATGATATGATGACAATTTTTAATTTTCATTGACAGCGTAAATATGATAGCAATAGTTTAATATTTTCATTATTTGAAAAGCACATATGTCATAAAATAAAGATAATTACATTGTAAATAATTAATTCTTTGTGTATATTTAATAATAATATCTAAAATAGTCACATCCTACTTTATTACAAATATTAGGTGATCAAAGATGTTCTGGATTTTAGATTTCATACAATCAAAATCACAATTTAAATTTGACTTATTCTGCCGCCCTTCTGCGGATTTAAAGCGTTGACATTTGGGCCGGTATTCATAGTCGGATCTTATATTTAAAACCGTCTTAAGTTTATCTTCAGATGCTGTATGGTCGCGGAAATAAAAGTATGTGCCCGTTTTCTTGCAGTTTTCGGAACGTATCCCGACTCGAGAAGAATGAGAGTCACTGCTCCGCCTGCGGAACACGCCTGCGCAGTAATTCACAACGAAAAGCGAGAGATGAAATATACATGGTATAACATAAGTATGTCAACAATCATTGCGTTTAGCGGAAGAAAACCACTCAATGAGCGATTAGTGACTATTGGTCCTTACTGTTAGATCCTTACATTCAGACCAATAACGTTGACAAATTATTCAACAGTTGCTCAACCGTTGAGTGTTGTGAACGCACCCAATTCTTACATTTTGAAAAATCAGCAACAGAGGGATAGATACATAGTGCAAGTTATTAAAATGGGAATGCGTCTTTTGCAAGGTATTCAACAGGTATGTATATTAAATTTTAAGTGAAATCGTATTTATTTAGTCACTAAACGCTCACTGAGCGGTTTTCTCCGCTGAACGCAATGATTGTTGACGTACTTATGTCATATCACGTATATTTCATTTCTCGCCTTTCGTTGTGAGTTACTGTGTAAGCATGCTCCGCAGGCGGAGCAGCAGTTCTCATCTTTCTTGAGTCAGGATGCGTTCCGAAAGTCATTAAAAAAAAAGTGACAACCTTTATCCGCGACCGTACTGTCCTGGTGTTAAGCCAGCGGCACACAGTGCTTGTTTTCGTGCTGGATTGCTTGTTGGATGAAAATACTGCGTTCTGATTCGTGCTGGATGGAAATGCACCAATCAGAGCATAGTATTTTCATCCAGCAAGCAATTCAGTACGAAAACAAGCACCGTGTGCCGCTGGCTTTAGACATTCACGTCTGATTGGTTGAATCAAAACACATTTCTTCTAATTGGATGGGCCATATTGCTTATATACCCCCTCTCCTTTTGAACTCCAATTCACGTATGCGCAGATGTTTAATTCCCTTATGCAATATATACTTTTTGGGGACAATTTTGTGCTACAGTACATAAGAGAGTTAGGCCCCTTGCACAATGCCAGGCAACAAGCAATAAGAATAAAAATAGACCAATTACAATCGACTATTACAAGAATAATCTATTGTGATTGATCTATTTTTATTCTTATTGCCTGTTGCCTGGCATTGTGCAAGGGGCTTTAGTAGTCTAGTTATACTATAGAAGCTGTGAGTAAAACCTGCATGTAGTGGCAGTCCGTGCTACATCCATTTTCAGGCGGTTTATGTCCGTGCTACAACCATAATAGCGTACTTAACAAGCACGGTCTCGCACATTGTTACGCGTTTATAACATGAATTAACATGTTAACATGTGCAAGAAAAAAAAATTGACGTTGTGTATGATTAATATTATGAAGATCATACGAGGTGTACGGTAATTAAGGTAGACTGGGTTGAGAGAAACATAAAAGTCCCATACCGTTTTGTAAGATTCGCAATAATTATCAAGTTATTAATGACAGAAATCTGAGGAATAGAAGCGCGCCGACATAGATGATTGGAGAAGCGTTGCAGCTGCTCAAGGCAGCGATCATGAATCTTTTCCCTAGCGTGAACTAGTGAAAAATGAAAGACTTTTGTGAATCAGTGAAAAATGAAAAATTTTATATGAATTTGTGAAAATCGAAACATTTCACACGACAACTAAGTCGTTCAACATGGCAGTTGCATCCTGGATAATTCTTAATGAATATCAAAGAAATCAAAATGATCAAAATAATAATGTCCGTGTAGGCCGAAGGATATTACGTGACACGCAAAATTTCTTTGATATAATATCCAAAGCAAATGTTTCAAAATATGTATGTACGTATCGGAAGATATCAAAGACTATTAATACAGAAAATAAGCCGAATATATATGTCTTTTAGGATTGCGAGACGTGAGAAAATTTAGAATAATTTTTATTTAATAAAATATATACATACGTTGGCATTTCTTAAGTTAATAATTCGAAGTTGAAACAATATTAAAATTGCAATCGGAAACATATGTACAGAGTGTTTCACAAATTCCTCGCTCCTAGGAATTCACGAAGACGTAGAACGGATTAAGATAAATATGAAATTCCTATACTATTTTGCGATGTACGCAACAACCGAGCTATTAATTACAGAAATGTAATGAATGAGCACATGCTGAGATGGCATCGAAAAAGCAACGAAGCTGCTTGAGCCAAGAGCGGCCCACATGATCTAACGACAGTTGCCATCATGTAAGAAGAAAAAGAAAAAGAAGGACAAGCCGCCGGTGAAATAAAACACAAGTAAGCTAGTGATGCACCCGGGCGAAAGAGACGGGGCTAGGCGAGAGAACGACAGCTGAGAAATATAATGTAATCGGAAATTTCAAGGTAGTGTTCGCTAAATATTCCCGCTATGTCGTCGCTGCAAATTCGAATGTTGTTTTTACACGCGTAAGCGTGTAATTAGCTCAAGCTTTCTTCACACGATTCTTGCGAGATTTGAAACGACAAAATTCGCCCCCAAAAAGGCATCAGCCAATCACACGCTCATATGCAAATTGCAGCAACAGCATTGTTATCGGGCAGACCTGAGACGGATTGCTGTTATCCGACCGTGACGTTTGCCGCGCGCCTTTGCGATTATCGGCAAGTTCAGTTTTCTCGATTGTTCGCGCGATTTCAAGTGGCCATAATATATGGCGATAATACATGGCAATATGTGGCAACAATATACGGCAACAATATATGGCAATAATATATGGCCATAATATATGGCAATAATTCATGGAATATATTTTTCATTACAAAAGTCAATGCAAATTTGCGGCATGCACAATGTAATAATAAAAGAGCTCTCTGCGAGCATTGAGTCAAACGCTCACCGATGATGATATTGATGATGTCCCGTTGCATCCAACTAGGTCCACCAATGTCCGTCTATGTCCGCTGCCGCTCTCCATGTCGCGCAGCATCCATCTTGCAGCGCATCCCACGTTGATTGCTACACTTTCACCACACTTCCGTGATGCGGTCGATACTTGTATTAGAGCGGTGATATTTACTTCAATTAACGAACGTTTTACATCGACACCGGTGGAAACTTTTTACGCGCTGCGAAACGGACTCTATAAACTCGATCGGCGAGGTGTAAGAACCGTGTGAAAATTTATCGACTCGTCCAATGGATTTTTACGGCGCTTTTCGCGATCGCGTCTGAAAAGTCGGCGAAAATGCGAGAGTATCGATATCTACGAGAATATTCGCGAATGCATGCGAGGAAAGATTAGACAATCAGAAACTGGTCATTCCGAGGGAGCGCAAAGGGAGAGAGCGGGGCAAAATTTTCACGCGTGATGGTTCCGTCACGACGAAGCTTACGTTCGCGATACTTTCGCGAAATGAGAATTTAAGCTTTTATTGTTAGTAGCGCGGGTAAAAACACGTATATTGATAACCGCGATATTCAAAGGCACGCGCGAGCGAGGATACCTCAAGCTTGGTGTGCGCTGGCGCAATTTCTACGCGCATTATTCTACGCTACTCGAGACAATAGGGATCGTTATGAATGGACAATATTGCCAAATAATTCTGCAGCCTATTTTGGAAATAAAAGAATAGTTCTCAACGGTATCGGCATTTATGCGTATGAATATATTTTACACGGACAATTAAATATTGTCAAGTAATTGTCGTTAAATAATTCTGCGGCCCGCTTGAAAAATGAAAATAAAGCAGTTGATGACCGTATCGCGTTTGTAGATATGAATATCTCTTATTCAGATGACTGAACATCAAAAGAGAATAATTCGGTATTTTAAATCTCGTATGTAATGCAGGCTATCGATTAAGTAATCTCCTGATTGTTTCGAGCAATGTATTTTATTCAACGTCACAAACACAAACATGCAAAATCCCAACATGCAAGAATCTATTTGCAATTCGCATTGACTCGAACGATATTTTATCTAGTTCCAGATCCGTCATGCGGAATGTCGTTTCTCTTTACATTTTGCATTTACTCACCGAAACGACTTGCAGTCAGAGCCGGCCACGTTCCGCTTCAACTCTGTAACAAAAAATTCGCATTCGCTCATCAGATTTGACCAACGAGTGCGGGCGAGTAAAAAAGTAGTTTACCCTCTGCGATCATAATTCAAGTCGAGCCGCAAATTATATCCCAGCTCTAGATCGTCAAGGGTCAAACACAGGACTATAGTAAACTTGTAAACTTACCTTCAAGCCGACTCTGCTTGGCCCGAATCGGATCCTCCGGTGCGGCATCCGCGTCCGCCGGATTGCTGTTGCTTTCTGCAGCAACTGAAACAGAAAAATAATTTTCCCGGTTGATAATCTGAGGTAGAGAGAGAATATCTTTGATCGGGACGAATCGAAAATACGGAAATATTTTGATATGGGATTTTTATATTTATTTCTTTGTTCCAAAATTGGAAATTTAAATGAGACTGGAAGCTTTCAAGAGAGCTGATGAGGAACAAGTTGCAAAGGCAAAGATTGTAAAGAGTTGAACACAGATGTGTAGGAAACTTGTAAACTTTACCTTCCGGCCGACCCTGCTCTGCCCGAACCGGATCTTCCGGTAGGGCATCCACGGCGTCCGTCGAACTTGCTTCCCCCAACGTCTAGAACAAAAATTTAGAGTTCTTGGTTGGTAAGCTGCGGTAGACAAAGAATGTTTGGTCGGAATAAGTGGAGAATATTCGCTACAGTTTTTTCTTCATTGACATTGAATCTAGTCTAGATAGGACTTGGAACTTTTGAAAGAGCTGACGAAAAAAAATGATAACAAGAAGCGGAGACAACAGTTGTGTGCTCTCGAAAATACTCTTTTACGAATGGACATTTAAATTTAGATCCCGTAACGAGAGTATATAGGCTTGAAAGAAGCGCTGACCGAAAACAAAGAAGGTCGCAGTCTAAGAAGCGGTATGACATTGAATATTCTACACAAGACCGGTACTCACACAGTTGGGAATTATTCAGAATGTTTGATTGAGAACATAATGAATTAGAGATCCGCGTTCAAGGGCCGTTATCCGTCTCTATCTGGATCCATATCTCTTGTATACAACAACGTAATAAATAGATAGACAGACAGAGATTGACGAGAGTAATTGCAGATTCATAAAGTCATTATTACTAGTCGGATGATGACGGAACGTGAATGTCGAGCGCGAAATTCCGACTTCTTATTCCCGGAAAATTTGTCAAACGTCCGCTCTCGTTATCGGAGATAACCTCCCGCATAATAGGAGTAAATGATTTCACATACCTGGAAATGTGACGTATCGCTACCGACGTCCTGCTTCCCTTCACTCGCTCACGCTTCTAATGCCGATACTCGCGATTCGACCGTACGGTTAATCAACGCGATGCCGACGCGATGCCGATTGAGTATCTCGAGGACCGACGAGATACTTTTCTTTCAATTACACGAGACGGAAGTGACGAGCGCGTCGCACACGGCTGCTGCTGATGGAATGAGGTCGAGTACGCGAGGTGCGCAAGTATTAATACGAAGGGCAAAAAGTGTTGTCGCTCGCGAGCCGATCAACACAATCGGCGCGATGTAAACATTGCGGGCCTCGGCGGCGGTTGAAGCAAGAGAGATTTGCCCTTGGGTGGCTCTTCTTTTCTCGAAGGTTCCGGAACAACGAGGGGAATACGAAGAGGCCTTTCAACTGTACGCAATATTGATCATTTATTGATTACCGAAAATAAAGAAAATTACTCTGTCGAAGCATCGGACATTTGTTAGCTTTATGTTAATTAAAGAGGAATGTGTACGATTAGAAGATGTGTTATACAGAGTGTCAAAGTTGTGACGCCGTTTTCGGAGAATAATTAGAGGTCATGGTAGCGTTAAAGAGTGGAATTTCATCCCATGCGAATTTTGTCTCGTTCTTATTAAATGTTAGATTATCCGCTGCGGACAATAACTCTTCTAGTTTTCATGTAATATTCAATGATCATAAATAACATTTAATTGCATTTGTTTGACTTTTTTATTTCGAAAATAAAAAAATATATGCCAGAGTGAGATTTCACCCATGACAACATCAACATGATTTTCTTTGATGCTTTTTTTAGAAGTTCAGATATTTCGTCGACTCGCGGGATATTTATAATCGGAGTCTCGTCGCGTTAATTAACACGTGCTCCTCCGAGCGGATCGAATGCTCACCGACGGCCACTGTCAGTGCCACGAGCGAATGTCCGGAACGAACGGGATGCTGAATTGAAAAGCAGGACGAAAGTAACGGGACGCGAGCAACGATACATCATGCGTCTCCAGACGTGTCAATTCGTTTATTATACAGGAGACTTTGACACGGTAACATGTATTCAAAGATTTAATATTTAATACATACTTTTATTTTTCCTGCTCTTCCCTCTCTCCCCCCTCTCGCTTTTTTTAGACCTTCGGGCATAGTCTACTGTCATAGAGATGGCAACTGTGGTTGCAGCACGGACATAAACCGCCTGAAAGTGGACGTAGCACGGACTTCCACCACATGCAGATTTTACCACCAAGACCTGAAAGTGGATGTAGCATCGTAGTTCCCCTCTCAAGATGGACGCAGATAACGTCCTTTCCCAGTACGGAAAGTCGGTGTCGCAGAAAGTACCGTGTTGGTCGCTTTCAGGTTTTTCTCTGCTGGTACTAAGGTCCGTAGATAGAAGAACAAGGCTGCTCTTTTTAGCTGCCCTGATAAACTGGGTTCAATAAGTTAATGTAAAAAAAAATATAGTTGTTTCACTCTAACTTATTGCACTAGTTCAGAAGTTTTTCGAAAAAGAACAGACTAATTATCGACGAATTCCGTGCGGAACGACTGTTATGCCATCTGTTGTTATCTACCATTACCACAAAAAGACGGAGAAATCTGGAGTCGCTACTGGCGCGTGCCATCTTGACGGACGCCTTGACTGGAGTATCGTAAACAGCTTTGGTTTTCGCTGCATACTGTGTAACGGGGGATCATGTCTAAGCGCCGGATTGAAGTTGTGGACCCTTACGTAAAACGAAGAGCGTGAGTGCAGCTGAAGATATTCGTTTCGTACATGGCAACGAGACCGTCGTTACCGTTGTCGTTATCGTCTTCATCGTCGTCGTCGTCGTCATCGTCATCATCATCGTCGTTTGTGGCGGCCGAACTCCTTGCCATGTGCATCATCGCGGGCTAATCGCTGTTGCCAATATTTGTCGCGTGCAAGAGCGTATACATAAATTTTCAGAATTTCGAAATCTCCTTTAATAATAATTTATGCGCATATGATCATTAGACGTCGTATACTTTTGAACGGCACGACGGTCTCGTCAAAATTGCTCATTTCTAGCGACAGCCGGGTTTTGATCCTGTTACTGCGTTCATTACACTTTCATTACACTTGTTCGTGGTCACAATTTGCATTAACCCGTTTCTCATGCGTGATTTCATATTTACGGTGCAAGTACCAGCAAGAATATGCTCGTTTCTATATATTTTTATGATAATTTCGTTCTTTCTCATGAATGAGGATACATATTTTAAACTATGCGATTCGTTACACCTTTCGCGAACATGTGAGCATGTAACATATCGTTTGTCACACGTTTGTGTAAGAATATAATATGTATTTTAATAATTATTTTTTGTAGAGATGGCTCAACAACGTCAAATAACATCCCAACGACTACAGCATCTACAGCGACCAAGAGTCAAGTACAATTCAACCCATATAACATGTTGCCCTATACGCAAAAATATTATGATCTTTATAAGAAGAGGATAACTCTACCTGTCTTTGAGTACCGTGCTGATTTTATGAGATTATTGAACCAGCATCAGTGTATTGTTCTCGTTGGTGAGACAGGTTCTGGCAAAACTACACAGATACCACAATGGTGTGTAGAATACTCAAGAGGTATTGGAAACAAAGGAGTTGCATGTACACAACCAAGGAGAGTCGCGGCAATGAGTGTGGCACAAAGAGTTTCAGAGGAAATGGATGTTGCCTTAGGTAATTGTTTTCATACTAACTCATAAAGTTGTATTAAATCACCACTATATACATACCTGTATACATAATATAAGAAATTAGTAAAGTTTATATGATTTATTAACAGGTCAAGAAGTAGGATTTAGTATTCGTTTTGAAGATTGTAGCACTGCAAAAACTGTGTTGAAGTATATGACTGATGGTATGTTACTTCGTGAAGGCATGTCTGACCCTATGCTGGATGCATATCAAGTGATACTACTCGATGAAGCTCATGAAAGAACATTAGCTACTGACTTACTCATGGGTGTTTTAAAAGAAGTGATTAAGCAGAGGCCAGATCTGAAGCTTGTGATCATGAGTGCTACTTTGGATGCTGGAAAATTTCAACAATACTTTGACAATGCACCTCTTATGAATGTACCTGGTAGAACTCATCCAGTTGAAATATTTTATACACCAGAGCCGGAAAGGGATTATTTAGAAGCTGCGATCAGAACGGTCATTCAAATTCAGATGTGCGAAGAAATTCCAGGGGACTTATTATTATTTTTGACTGGTCAAGAAGAAATTGAAGAAGCCTGCAAGAGGATCAAAAGAGAAATGGACAACTTGGGACCTGAAGTCGGCGAATTGAAATGCATACCATTATACTCGACACTACCACCAAATCTGCAACAAAGAATATTTGAACCTGCTCCATTCACTAAACCAAACGGAGCTATCGGTCGTAAAGTTGTGGTCTCGACCAACATTGCAGAAACCTCATTAACTATCGATGGTGTCGTTTTTGTAATAGATCCAGGTTTTGCCAAGCAAAAAGTAAATATAACGTTCCATAATTAGGTTCAGTGCAAACATGTCATCGTAAGTTTAAAATTAATAATGAATAATTTTTTTTGTCAATAGGTGTATAATCCAAGAATTCGTGTAGAATCTCTTTTAGTGTCACCTATTAGTAAGGCTTCGGCACAACAAAGAGCTGGCCGAGCTGGAAGAACGAGACCTGGAAAGTGTTTTAGATTATACACAGAGAAAGCATACAAAAATGAGATGCAAGATAACACATATCCTGAAATTTTACGATCCAACCTTGGCAGTGTTGTATTACAATTGAAAAAACTTGGTATTGACGATCTGGTGCGTGCATTGAAAAATATTGCATCATCACAAAATCATAATCGTTCATTTGATTACATATTAATGTAAAATCCTGTAATATGAAAGTATTGAATGCAACATTTTGCGACAGGTACATTTTGATTTTATGGATCCACCAGCACCTGAAACTCTGATGAGAGCTTTGGAGCTTTTGAATTATCTAGCGGCTCTCGATGACGACGGCAACTTGACGGATCTCGGAGCGGTTATGGCAGAATTTCCATTAGATCCTCAACTGGCTAAAATGCTTATAGCATCTTGCAATCACAATTGCAGCAATGAAATACTTAGCATCACTGCTATGCTTTCAGGTAATGTATTGGGGTTTGCTATCTGTTTTTTGACTAATCCTTTGTTAGTTTAACATAACAGTTTACTTTATTGAGATCTCATACACATCTTGTACAATGTCAGTAACATAATTTATAATATAAAATAAATTAAAGATGAGAAAGATAGGAGCGTAATAATAGAGTTAAAATTGTGGTAAGATAACATGGTAATGTATTGACAATTGACATGGTATTAGTCCCACAGTGCTTTGTGAGACCAAACGAATCAAAGAAGGCTGCGGATGACGCAAAAATGAAATTTGCACATATTGATGGTGATCACCTCACGCTACTCAACGTGTACCATTCCTTTAAACAACGTAAGTATAAATTTTTTCACAATTACTATTAGGATATTATCAAGCGGTTTAATAAATGCATATCTCTGAAAAATGTTTATAGATCTGGATGATGTTCAATGGTGTTATGATAATTATGTAAATTATCGATCGTTGAAAAGCGGAGACAATGTAAGACAACAGTTGAGCAGAATAATGGACAGATTTGTATTAAAACGTACTTCAACTGACTTTAATTCAAAAGATTATTATATTAACATCAGGAAAGCTCTTGTTAATGGTTTCTTCATGCAGGTAATTTAATAATTAGTAACAGTATGTCTTAATAACTATTATAAAAAGTTGTCCTTATCATACTACTTCTACTCACCAAAATATATATATCTTGCTTTTATTATTCAAACAGGTAGCACATTTAGAAAGAACAGGTCATTATCTCACTATTAAAGATAATCAAATAGTACAACTTCATCCCAGTAGTTGTTTGGATCATAAACCAGAATGGGTTATTTATAATGAATTTGTGCTCACTACTAAAAATTACATCAGAACAGTCACCGACATCAAACGTAAGTTTTCTAGGTTATCGTAACAAATGAATTCATTCTTGCTGTGTTATTTCGTTCGTTTAACAAATTAATTTTTACTGATACAGTTATTCTACATTAACTTTTTATATTTTTACAGCTGATTGGTTGCTCATGATAGCACCACAGTATTACGATCTACAGAACTTCCCTCAATGCGAAGCAAAAAGACAACTGGAAGTAATACAGGCGAAACTAGATTCAAAGCAGTATCAAGAAGGCTTCTAACCTCTATATATCTTAGATACATCTTTGGAAATCGTGAATTATCGATGCTCAGTCAGTCCGCTTTTGTCATAGCCAATGGCACACGACTTTTTCACGTATCAAAGCCACATCACATTGAAACATTGTAAGACACAATGCAAAGAGACACTTTCAATCCTTTAAGACACTAAAGAGAGAAAGAATATTAAAATGTTTATATTAAAACATTTTATTTTATTTTTTGTACAAGCTTTAATGCCAGCTTTTATGCTGTAAAAAAATTAAATATTTGAATATTTTCAACGCTTAAACCAAGAGAAAATGGAGTACTGGGCGATTTATTAGCCCGAAATACAGAAAAATATGCTTAATCTTTCGATGAATGATTATTTATGTACTATTAAGAAGAGATTTAGACATTAAGTAATTTTATCAGTGGGATTTCTTGAAATCAATGCGTACACACATTCGGAATATCTCGCTAGTTATAGATTAATTTTTGTATTAAATGTTAATCGTGTATTTTTCGGAAAATATACACGGCGCTTGATAATTATTGTACAATATCTTAACAGCGTGTTCTAGAGTTTAATTAATAATCCCAATACAAATTCAATAATATCAAGATTATAATAGTTATTAAACTATTATTAATAGTTATTGAATTAATTATTAATAGTTTAGAATTATTAATAATTAATTTACTAATGATATCGCATAGATTTTATACGCATATTTAAGAACCAAAATATGCGAAATTATTGGCGGACTTTAATTGCTTATAATTTAAAAATTATTGTGATCTCAACATTTTTAATCAGAATTTTCGATTCTGATTAAGCTTTAGAGTACGCTGTTAGAATATTATCCGATAGTTTTCAGGCGTCTTGTATAAACTGTCTACTATAAATAGTCAAACATCTTATATTTACTTTTATTAAAAAAAAAAAGGAACGGAACTCATGTCTTTCGTTAACATTAACATTTCGATTTTTTACTACACTAGCCTGTATGCAATTTCGATCTACATGCAATTTCAATGTTTTGTGTATATATTCTCTTGCTTTATACGAATATAAAAATCACGATTTAACGTTGAAATGACATAAAATGTCATTTCTCCCTCTGAATGAACAAATTGGTGTATAAGCATTTTAGATATATAATTAGAAAATACAAATGAGCCCATCTAAAAGTCTCAAACAATGATGATTTTGCAACTAATTATATATAAAATATAAAAGACGCTATAATTAATTTACACATATAACGACAGAACATCCCATTTGGATCATTTTTAATGTCTGAGGGTAAAGACTTATAGCATCTTTTAATTACCTTTCATGTAGTTTATTGCAAGTACACTAATGTTTTAGGCTTTTATTGGCTCACGTGTGCTTTCTAATTTCACAATGGAATGAAAGAATCATTATAGTGAGAAGGGTATTATATGCTTATTATAAACCAGACCTTAACATCAATTTTCATTAAATTGGAAGTGATAGAAAGAAGCTAGATATAGCGGAAAATATTTGTAAACATACCCCTTAGGGATTCGAACAGAATCAAATTATTAAAAAGAAAATATTTATGATATGTTAGTATAATAAGAGTCACATAAACCGTTTCATGAAAACGGCATTCAGTGTAATAAAGCATCTTTATTAGCATCTGGGAAAAATTGAATTTCGACATCCTATATGTTTTTCGTTCGTCATTGACATTCTGCATATACATAACAATAAATATACGAATTTTGCTTTAACATAAAAAGAAGCTCAAGTTCGCAAATGTTCGCTCGATCACGTTAACAATCAGATGTTTACAGTTAATTCTATAAGTGATTGACTGTAGATCTTACAGCTAACACTTTATTTCGTTTATTACACTGGGTTTATATTTTTTATTCTGTAAATAAACGTACGAGAAAATTAAATACTATTTCATTGTAGAAAACAAAACTAATTATGGCAAGTGGTTTATTGCATTATACCATTTCATACTAATAAATATTGGAAATTTATATCACAACACTGATAATATTTTTCATTAAGTGCCTTGTGTCTTTGAGACCAAATTTTAGTTAATAATTTTCTCTATGGAAGAAAAAGTTTAATAATTATACTACGAGGTTCTTTAAGTTTGTGTATATGGTGTTGATGTTTAAGAGTCACCCATAAACTTACGCTGTAAAAGAAATAGAGAGTTATAAATGTATATTATTTTAGTCAACACGAAGAGGGAAAAATGAAGAGAAGTCAAAGGAAGCTTTAAAAACATCTTATTCTCCCAAGCGCTTTTTCGGTTTTATATTTCTTAAAAAGTAATTTTTCTAATATCTACATTTCTTCTTTTTTGTCATAAAATAGCAAGGCGAATACATTTTAAACAAAAGAAAAAATAACTTTCCTAATACATTTTATAACAATGTAAAGTAACTAAAAGAAAAAATAAACATTTTTTCATATATTATAATTTTGAGAGTAATAATGCTTTATATATGTAGAATTGCTTGAATCATGATAGAAAAACAACTCTAATTAAAATACTTAATATCAACATCCTCTTTCAAAATCTCAGGAAAAAAGGAAAAAATTAAAATGAAAGAAGAGAATAATACCCAAAAGTAATAATTCAATCTATTTTTCATTCATTTTCATTAATTGGCCTATTTTTATGCATGGAAAAATACTTAGATTAAAAGTATATTGATTATATATTTTTGATCCCAGAGATTATTAAGTGAGCAAAAAAGCCCTGGATTAAATATATAAGTATTAAGAGAAAAAGTTAGAAGAGAGAATAGGGAGACATATGTATGTGTGTGTGGGAGGGGGAGAGAAGCGTAAGCGGAGGCACTGATACATGAAATTATAATTCTGAAAGGATCACAATAAATATAATACATACATACATATATACAAAAGTTCTGGGTTTTTTTACAAAATTCAATCTTTATTTAACCCTTTAACTGCTGATATATTAAATGACCAGTATGACCCTCTTTGCTCAGTTATTTTTACAATTATAAAATATTTTATAATGATACAAGATCATGTATTACACTCGAGTTATCTCGACCGTGGCAGTTAAAGGATTAAATGGGTATTACACATTGAAAGTCCAAATCGAGTAAACTCGGTCGTAGCGAGGCCGCTATTTTTTTCCGCAAAATTTGGGGCCAGAGCATAGACTCTGCATAACGCATAATACATAAAGCATAAGAGAATCAACCAATCAGAGTTCTTCATTTCTGTCCTGAGGAGGGAAATGAAGAACTCTGATTGGTTGATTCTTTTATATGTTGTGTATTATGCGTTATGAAGAAGTCTGTACTCTGGCCCTATGCCCGGAGGTCTAAAAAAAGCGAGAGGGGAGGAGAGAGGGAAGAGCAAGAAAAATAAAAGTACGTATTAAATATTAAATCTTTGAATACATGTTGCCGTGACAAAGTCTCCTGTATAATAAACGATTTGACACGTCTGGAGACGCATGATGTATCGTTGCTCGCGTCCCGTTCCTTTCGTCCTGCTTTTCAATTCAGTATCCCGTCCGTTCCGGACATTCGCTCGTGGCACTGACAGTGGCCGTCGGTGAGCATTCGATCCGCTCGGAGCAGCACGTGTTAATTAACGCGACGAGACTCCGATTTTAAACATCCCGCGAGTCGACGAAATATCTGAACTTCTAAAAAAAGCATCAAAGAAAATCATGTTGATGTTGTCATGGGTGAAATCTCACTCTGGCATATATTTTTTTATTTTCGAAATAAAAAAGTCAAACAAATGCAATTAAATGTTATTTATCATCATTGAATATTACATGAAAACTAGAAGAGTTATTGTCCGCAGCGGATAATCTAACATTTAATAAGAACGAGACAAAATTCGCATGGGATGAAATTCCACTCTTTAACGCTACCATGACCTCTAATTATTCTCCGAAAACGGCGTCACAACTTTGACACTCTGTATAACACATCTTCTAATCGTACACATTCCTCTTTAATTAACATAAAGCTAACAAATGTCCGATGCTTCGACAGAGTAATTTTCTTTATTTTCGGTAATCAATAAATGATCAATATTGCGTACAGTTGAAAGGCCTCTTCGTATTCCCCTCGTTGTTCCGGAACCTTCGAGAAAAGAAGAGCCACCCAAGGACAAATCTCTCTTGCTTCAACCGCCGCCGAGGCCCGCAATGTTTACATCGCGCCGATTGTGTTGATCGGCTCGCGAGCGACAACACTTTTTGCCCTTCGTATTAATACTTGCGCACCTCGCGTACTCGACCTCATTCCATCAGCAGCAGCCGTGTGCGACGCGCTCGTCACTTCCGTCTCGTGTAATTGAAAGAAAAGTATCTCGTCGGTCCTCGAGATACTCAATCGGCATCGCGTCGGCATCGCGTTGATTAACCGTACGGTCGAATCGCGAGTATCGGCATTAGAAGCGTGAGCGAGTGAAGGGAAGCAGGACGTCGGTAGCGATACGTCACATTTCCAGGTATGTGAAATCATTTACTCCTATTATGCGGGAGGTTATCTCCGATAACGAGAGCGGACGTTTGACAAATTTTCCGGGAATAAGAAGTCGGAATTTCGCGCTCGACATTCACGTTCCATCATCATCCGACTAGTAATAATGACTTTATGAATCTGCAATTACTCTCGTCAATCTCTGTCTGTCTATCTATTTATTACGTTGTTGTATACAAGAGATATGGATCCAGATAGAGACGGATAACGGCCCTTGAACGCGGATCTCTAATTCATTATGTTCTCAATCAAACATTCTGAATAATTCCCAACTGTGTGAGTACCGGTCTTGTGTAGAATATTCAATGTCATACCGCTTCTTAGACTGCGACCTTCTTTGTTTTCGGTCAGCGCTTCTTTCAAGCCTATATACTCTCGTTACGGGATCTAAATTTAAATGTCCATTCGTAAAAGAGTATTTTCGAGAGCACACAACTGTTGTCTCCGCTTCTTGTTGTCATTTTTTTTCGTCAGCTCTTTCAAAAGTTCCAAGTCCTATCTAGACTAGATTCAATGTCAATGAAGAAAAAACTGTAGCGAATATTCTCCACTCATTCCGACCAAACATTCTTTGTCTACCGCAGCTTACCAACCAAGAACTCTAAATTTTTGTTCTAGACGTTGGGGGAAGCAAGTTCGACGGACGCCGTGGATGCCCTACCGGAAGATTCGGTTCGGGCAGAGCAGGGTCGGCCGGAAGGTAAAGTTTACAAGTTTCCTACACATCTGTGTTCAACTCTTTACAATCTTTGCCTTTGCAACTTGTTCCTCATCAGCTCTCTTGAAAGCTTCCAGTCTCATTTAAATTTCCAATTTTGGAACAAAGAAATAAATATAAAAATCCCATATCAAAATATTTCCGTATTTTCGATTCGTCCCGATCAAAGATATTCTCTCTCTACCTCAGATTATCAACCGGGAAAATTATTTTTCTGTTTCAGTTGCTGCAGAAAGCAACAGCAAT